CCTTCCCAAAATGGAAGAAATATTGGACAGCCACAGGATGGTCATAATAGCTTTGGGAATCTATTGACAAGAAAACTAGCAGCTGTGAACAGCAGGAATATGGACTTATGTTTAAGGGTGGCCAGAAAACAGCTGTAAGGGGTTGTTGCCAAAAGCCGTGTTGGGGCAACAGCAAAGCTGTGTAAGAAGTGTCTCTGGCCAGAGCTGAACCCAGTGGACAATGGAAATTTTGGGTTTACATTCCAAACTCAATGCGTGAACACACCATCTCCACATTGTAACATGGTGGTAGCAGCGTCAAGAAGCATTGAATGCATCCTTCTGAGGGTGCCAGTAAGGAACAGTTTATGTAAAGATGGATGGAAATCTTATATTTGAAGAGACCTTGAAGAATGTGGCCTTCAACAATGTAATAATTTTAACATTGATCCAGAACTATGATGGGAATTATCGTAGCGTGTTCATGTCTAAGAATGGCCTAGTCAAAGTCCAGACGGACATTTATTTTGGAACATTTGGCCAGACCTGAAAAAAAAACTCGTATTCCTACAAGAACGAATGTTGACGTTTGAACAGGTGGTTTGGAAAAATATCTACATAGGTGAGTAAGTGCAAACGCATGACACACTTTTCAGATTTTCACTCGTAGAAAAAAAGAACAAAAAGTTTTGAATATTATGTATCCCTACCCTTCCCAGTTGCTCTCTACTTTCTCTAACATTATGAGGCTGTGACGCAACAGATGTGGCAAAAGGTCAAGCGGTATAAATAACTTCGCAAGGAGCCGTTTTCAATAATAGACGACTTATTACAATAAGGCTGGCTACGCCGCCGAAGTGTACCTCCATTTCTCTTCATCTGCCGAGGCAGTCTTGTTCACTTTATGAGAAACAGGATAGTGCATCTTCAGTCTCCCTGTGCACCCACTCAGCCCACCCACACACATCTGAGCCATGCAGCACACTGCACAAACCCGAGCTGCACATGCTTCCTCGCACAGGAAGAACACAGCCCATACTTTAACATGCTCATCAACACTCGAGTCACTCATTCCCACCGTCTCTCATGCGCACACACACACACACACACACACACTGACACACGCACGCAAGTGATGGGCTGTGTCACCAGCTGTAGAGATAGGACAGCCGACGTCTCGTTAGAAGTGGTTTGGCAATGGCAGAGTGCAAACACTTCCTTCTCAGGCTGACATTGCTCCTCTTCCTCCTCCTCCATCTCATAAACATCCTCTACGGGTTTTATTTGGACCTATTCTTTTCTCCTACTCAGTCCCAGAGGTGCCATGGCCACGTTCTGCTGTCTCTTTAATGACTGTGGGTGAACAATCAATATTATGCACACCTCCAAACATAGCACAACACCCACTTTGCGCTGTAGATTGAATTCTGACAGTGAAGAGAAAGGCACAGTTTAAGGGGAAAAAAAAAAAAAAAAAGTCAGCCTGGAAAGAAACCGTGATTGCTGTGAAACTGAAAGGAGGACTTAGTAAAACAGATGGCAGGCTTAAACATCTCTGGAAATTTTGAGTAGCTGAAGCTGGACTATTTTAGGAGTAAAAAATAGGAAAGCTCTGCTTGGTTGGCTTGTTCTACTTCTTAGACAGCTTGTCAGTGGGAAAAAAGATACCGAGTCTCCTGGGTGATAATTAGAAATGAATAAGCCAGGACATAAACAGCAGGGGGCGCAATTATATTATTTCCAGTGGTTATCCCACTGGCCCACCATCTCAGGCACTCCTGTTTTTATTTATTTTATTTTAGCAAAGTCACACAATTTAGCAGGAAGTTACAGGAAATACATAAATTAACCTTAAACTACTCCTGATCACCGTCAAGAAACAAGACGCAAAATATAAAGACGCATAATGTTATGACCACGAATAGCAAAACTATCTTAATTGTGTTGCTTCACAGGAAAATCTACGCACTGGATAATGATCCTAAAAGTTTATAAGATCAGACAGATGTATAAGGATACACTTTGTCACAGCCAGACGCTAATCAGGAAGAAGAACTGTTGCCAACATCTTTTTTTTTCTTTGCTCGTTTTTCCACTAATAAATGTCAAAGAAAAAAAAAAAAGCACAGCTGAGATATGTCATATGGATTTCCACACCGAAGAGGAAATGTGCCAACGCTGCTTTGTGTGTATTTGGGTTGGATGACATCACAGGAGGAACAGGAATCCAGAACTTTGATTGGTGCAAATCGACTTTATATTCCTGTTTGAATCTTTACATGAGACTTCAAGAATATCTTTCTTTCTGATCCTCAAGCAATGAGATTGTTTCCCCTTTTCTTCCTTCTCATATTAACTGAGAACCTGCCATTGCAATGTTTGCCAATTGCAACGGCATGGGCAGACATAATAGTTGGGACTTGAAAATCATCTTAATGCAACAAATTTACCAGGTTGCTTCTTACAGCAATTTGACTTTAAATAATCACTAAAGATCTTAGATAAAAAAAAATCTAGTTTTTACACAGTGAACCTTGACTTCTTCTCAGAATGCCTCCGCATGTTTTATGATTACCATAGTTTTCTGAAATCCATGCAATATTCTTACATATGGTGCAAACGAGGCCAATTAAATACCTATAAAGAAAGAAATTTGAAAATAAATCTAAGCAGGAGGAAAAATAAATCACAACGTAGATATAATAGATCTCACATTAGTTGCTCTGTGCCCCAGATCATCAGACATGTTGAGAAAAACAGCAAAATAGAAAATCTTTTAAAAACACCCTTGATGCATTCCATAGGTGACAATTTGGTTACTTTTACAGAAACGTCTGGTGAATAACTTTAGTGAGAACATCAATGGCTTCAGTCATGAAACATTTAAGCTAAAACTGTCTGAATCTCTCAGTCCGTTTCCCTTTCTGCCTTTCATGTCTGAGAAGAAGCGTCCCGCTTGACTCAGAGACCGTTAGGGGATGAGAGGAGTGGCGAGGTCTGCTCTTTAGCGGGGGCAGAGGCAAAGGGGAGAGGTTCGACTTTGATGGCAGGGTACACAGGGGGCTGAGCGTTTGGGTGACTAAAACAGGAGCTGCTCCCACAGTCCTGCGGCTCTTCAACAACCATGATTTCCACTCTGGAGAGAGGCGACCTTTTGTTTCCAACAAAATCCAGATTAAAAGAGCGCGTCCGGAAGTCGGAGAGATAGATCACTTATAATGGCTGCTGACTCATCAGACCACATGCAAAGACTTGTTTATCTGGACTGAAATAAAGAGACAGACAAACTAAAAAAAGAAAAAAAAAAAAAACCTATCTGGTTGTGGGCAAAAGATGTATGGTGTAAAAGTCTTTCAATTAAAGTTTTCTGCCTCATCTGCTGCTTCTTAGGTCTTTTTGTTTTCCCCAGCAGTGCATTTGATGCGTTTCCTTCAGTTTTGCACAGTTTTAATGTGAAAACATGGCCTTGGCTGTTCTTTTGATGCATCCCCCCTCCCGCTACTCACTTTGTTTCTCAAATGAGAGGTTGCTGTCTTAATGCAGCCTCTACTCCGCCTAGAGGACAAAGTAAGTAGTGGTTTGGTAATTTGCTGCTCATTTTGTCATAAAATAACTAAACAGGTGCAGTACTTTGCAAAAGTATGGTTTTCAGCATCATTTTCATCAAATAAGAATCTAAAAGGTTTTTGTTTGTGTTTTTTTTTTTTTTTTACCTCTGGATTCAAAATTCCTGAGCAAAGACTTCAGAGAACCACCTTTCACTGCAATCACAGCAGAAAGTCTTTAAGGATGTTTCTCTGACCACTCTTTGCAAGATAGTTCAAGACCAGAAAAAGTGGATGGAGAGCAGCTGTAAATTTCAAACTACAGATTTAGGCTTTATAACACATGCATATGATTTCATCCAAACCGTTCCATCATACTGGTCAGGTTCATTATCCTGGTGGATAAAGGTCACCGCCTCTAATAGGTTTTATTTCAGAATTGGCCTGTAATTAGCTCCATCCTTCAATCTCTCCTCCTTGTCCACGCTAATGAATATTTTTCCCACAGCATGATGCTGCCAGTACCAGGTCTCACAGAGGGGATGGTGTGTTCAGGGTTATGTGCTTTTTTCGTTTTGCACACCACATAGCGTTTTGTTGTGTCTCCTGCATAGGCTGCAGCAAAAAGGAGAAAAATAAACAAAAAAATCATGGTAAAATACATTAATGTTTATGATTTAAACCTGATAAAATGTTGAAGCATTAAAAAGGACATGTACCTGGTCAAAGGCTGGAGCAGAAAATAGCCTTCATTGTTTCTTTGGTTAACTGCAAATTTACATACAGTATGCTTTATACTGTGAATTAGCACAGAACAGTGAGACAAAACCAACCAAAAAAGACACTTTGCATGTTCCTATAAGAGTCCCTGATTTATTTAAACTAGTCACAAATCAAAAACCATTAACATTTAATTCTGTTTGTAGATTATGAAGCGTCAAAACACAATAAGGCCTGTTTAAAACACATTTTCCTTTCATCCCCTACTTTTAAAGATCAAAGTTAGGAAGAAAAGAAGGACTGATCTACTCTATCCACACCGTCTCTGTGTCACATGAACACACACATGGACACACGCACACGCGCACACACACAGTTGGCCGTTGTTGGCTGTGAGTGGGGTGCTGTGGGGAGAGTGGGGCTCAGTGTGACCAGGCAGAGGCCAGCGTCGCAGGCAGGCAGGCAGTGGAGAGAGTGCTGTGCCGCAGAGACGTGCCCGGGGTGGATAAACCATGCTCACTGAGCGGGAGAAACACTCTGCCCAGGACACAAGATGAAGGTAGAGAGGAAGCCCTCCTCTAAACTCAGCAACTTCAGGGACATTCCTCCACTGTTGACGCTCTTCGTCCTCTACCTCCTCCTCCTCCTCTTCACGGGTAGGTACTGATATTTGCCATCCAGTCAAGAAAGTTAACCAAACTAACGGAACATTTTAAACAGTTGTCGCCTGGCAAACGTGAAGGGTGTTGACTTTCTTTTATTTTTTTCCCTATTGTCATTCTTCAAATGGAAGTAAGCGAGAGGTTAAATGAGTCTAGGAGATTTTGCCTTTTGTGTTCGTGTGCTTTGTCTCTGAATGGGTTCGCTGAGTTCCCACTTTGTGCCCAAAGGGAACTTGAAGTGGCCATTAAGAGAGTATATGAAGAGGACAATACCAGGTCAAGAGAGATGATAAAGAACAGTTAATATGTTTAAGTGCTCGTTCCAAAGGACTAACCACGAAAAATGTATTTCACAACAGTACCATGGGCCCAGTTCACCCAAGCAGGCCAGATTTGGTTAGAATCACTGGATCCTGTGTCTATCTCCAGCTTCACCAGTGACAAAGAATTTCTCTCTGTAAGCCTCTCTCTCTCTCCCTCTCTCTCTGTCGCTCGCTCTTTTCAAGGGAGTAAACTCATTGCAACAATCGTGCCCTTTGTGTTATTGCCTTGGCAACTCTTGTCAAGGGGACCAAATGGTTACCACAGCAATGAGGCGATGCCCTGCTAACTGCTTCTCTGTGAAAGAGCGCCGCAGACTCTCCCTCTCTCGCAGGCTGATCTCTCCATCACTGGAGCCGAACAGTAGGATGCCCTCCATCAGGCTCGCAGCCGATGTTTGGACCTCCATGTGTCCGGCTACGGCTGAGTTATGGCTACCTCCACTGTGAACATAATGGCTTTGCTTTGTTTGGTTTCCCAGACAGGGCTCCAATGTAAAGGTAAAATGTGACTTACATTATAAAGCCCTCCCTAAGAGGCAGGCGATAACAGGGGAACACAAATCAAAATTAGCACAAGCCTTGTTCTCGCTCTCTGAGAGGTCATGAGAAATTCCAGCAGCGAGTTCCTGAGAAGCAGATTAGCGATTGAGACGTTTAGGATCAAATAAAAACAGGCATGCGTGTCATTAAGTCCGTCTCTGGAGCAACTTCGCCTCGCTCACTGAAGAGGAGGTTGTTATAATCAAAAAAAGAGAGATCTAAAAAGTTTCACATCTTTTTAAATGGCATTTCCCCCCTCACCCCTGCACAACCTTTTCATCCTCTCAATTTTTTTAATTACTTGTTTCCAACACCACTCACGTTGGCCACCTTCCAAAAAAGAAAAAGAAAGTTGTTCGTGATACGAGAGGTCAACTAATTAGTTCAGGACAGTTGCTCATCGTTGTAGGTGTGCCAAACTTGCCACCAGGCGAGAAATATGTAGATGATTTGCTGTCGATAACACAGAGACCGAACAGCGAGCGACTCTTTCAGATAGTGTGGGGGCATGCACCATCAGCAGCTATCTTTACAGTACATGTTGGACTTTGCAGATCAGCTTCAGGGTCTATAATGCAATATGGCGCACTGAAATCTAGCAGGGGCAAAAGAAAGGGACAATATTTCAGAAAAACAAATGTTTCTATTGTACAGATTAAAAACAAACAGATACACCAAAGGAATGTTCCCTTCAAAGTTTCTTTGCACCGAGTTTCTTACCTCTTCCTTGTGTTCTGCTATTTTTGTACCGAGGAATCCAATTGTTCTTTTAATTTCTTTAAAAGTCCCTGTTTAATTCTTGTTTAGCTCCGTCTGTTCTCATTTCTGTTTTTATTAGTTCTGACTTTCCCTCAGTTAATGTGATCAGATTCTTCCTCTGCTGCAGCACAACATTCCCCCAACTATTCACAGCTGGGTCTTGTGCTACTCATCAAGTGACAGCTAAAGTCTGTCACTTTCCTCAAGGGTTGGCACAACATTAATCAGAGACGCAAGCAGGAGGTCTACAGGTACTCTGGAGGAGCTGTAGAAATCCAGAGCTCACATGGTGTTTTGGTGATCCGTTTCCTCTACAGAGACAGGCAGGCTTGTCATGCATCATAAGATCGTGGACATAGCCTATATCCTGAAGCAAAACTGATTTATTTTGTGAAGAAAAACTGAAGGCTCACATTCCTGCAGAATGATGACCCTGAAAATTTCAGCCATATTGGCAATGAAATGGTGTAGTTCCAACAATGTTCATTTTTTACATTATTTCACTGAGAATCTGTGACAACATACAGCACATTATTATGAAAGACAATGATTCGATCTGAATGAGTTCCAGCTATTTTATAACCCAAAACTTTCAGTCACTTAATAAATAAGAGACAAATCTCAAAAGATCTGCAGCAACAGCCGCATAAAGATGATTCAGCAAAGTGTTGATTTAATGAAACTTAATGCAGCACAAACACAGAACTGTACGAGTAAAATGAAAAAGGTTTACTATTCCCCTCTTCACAATTAAGCATCATGTTGCGATTGCATAAAATGCCAATGAAACTAATAACTCTGTGGCCTTATTGTGAAAAACAATATATTAAGAAGTGAACAAGGTCTGAATATTCTCTCAACCGTTCATGACCTCACCACTGTCTCCCTGCCCTCCAGGTGAGGCACTTGGCGTGAATGTGACCAGCCAGACCCAAGTGGTGAGGGGCACGGTGGGCAGAGAGGCCCTCTTGTCGGTCAGCTACTCCAGCAGCAGCGCTGACAAGCCTGTCATCAAGTGGCAGGTCAAGAAGGACAAAGTAAAGCCCGTCACCGTCGTTCAGTCAATCGGCACAGAGATCATTGGAAACCTGAGGCCTGAGTTTCGCCACCGAATCCAGGTGTTCGAGAATGGCTCCCTGCTACTCCACAACCTGCAGCTATCAGATGAAGGGGCGTACGAGGTCGAAATCTCCATCACAGACGACACGTTCACCGGAGAGCACTACATTGAGCTGACCGTGGATGGTATTCAGACTAACTTTGTGCACCACATTGGTTTTAAATAAAATACCATGCTATTTATTTTTAAAAAATATATGTATGTGTATGTGTGTGTGTGGAAAAAAAAAAAAAAAAAACATCGTCAAAACAGTGTGATTGCAATATGGGTTTATGGGCTGCGATAGTGAGTTTCCTATAATAAGAAATTCACTCTCAAACCCACTATACAAGTGCAGCTCAAAACAGAATATCATAACAAAGTAATATTTTTTTTTGTCACTTATTTTACACAGTGGAATAGATTAGTTGATCTTAATATAGACTATAGTTTACATTCCCTGTGAGACACAATCATCAAAATTGCAAGAAATACAGGCTCGAAATACTTACCGTATTTTCCGGACTATCTAGAGCGCACCTCACTATAAGCCGCAGCCACAAAGTTTAAAAAAAATAAAATAAAAAAAAACTGCAAACGTATAAGCCGCACCAGGCTATGAGCTGCATGGTTCAAAGCGTGAGGAAAAAGTAGCGGCTTATAGTCCAACAAATACTGTATATAAGTGACCAAAAATATAAAACTGTTTCACCATGTTCTGCGTCTTTGTGCTGTACTTGTACTTTGGTCCTGTTATCCTCCTCAGTTCCTGTGTCAAAACCTTACATCCAGATGATGGCTTCTTCCGTCCTGGAGTACAGCGAGCACTTCCACCTCCACTGCTCCCATGATAACGGCACAAAGCCCACGTACAGTTGGCTGAAAGGAGGGAAGGTGCTGACCAATGACTCACGCCTTCTGCTTTCACACGACCAGAAGGTGTTGACCATCTCACGCGTCCTGATGTCCGATGACGACGTCTATGCCTGCACAGTGGAGAACCCCATCAGCAGCACGAAGAGCGTCCCTGTTCGCCTCACCGTCTACAGTAGGTGACATGTTACTCTGCCAGAAGCCTTATAACACAAGATCACAAGTGGAATGAGATGATGGACAATCAAAACCTGTTGAGTTGAACTGGGTAATTTATCCTAAACGCTTCAAAGTCTTGCCTCAAAACATTTTTTCAGCTCTAAAAATTTTAAGGTGAAAATATCTGAAGTATTGTGCTTGAGTACAGCACTTTCGACCAGTTGCATCGAACACTGAATATTGATTTATATGCAGTTTGTTTTCATTTCTTATATTGGTCTTGATCAATAGTTCTTTTAATAGGCTTTTTCAACTTTTTAAAGTTTTCATCTGACTTGTGACCAATTTTCTTTACAGTCTTTGTGTCCAATTTTGACAATATAAAAAAATATAAGAGTGAATAAATGTGAGACAGAAGACATAAGCAAATACTATCCATCCATCCATCCATCCATCCATCCATCCATAAATTTTCTATACACCCTTGTTCCTAGTGGGGTCGGGAGGGTGATAAGCAAATACTAAGAAATGGAAATGTTACACGAATGAAAAATATGCTTTTTGAAACTGCCATTGCTACTTGATGAAATCCCTCAAATATTTTACATTGTATTTGTTCCTATAAATGTAAACCTGCCCATTCACACATAAGAGATAATAAGAAGTCTACCTTTTCATAACATGTTAAACTTAACACTCTCAACGTTGTTCATACTAACAAATTTTAATATTTCTCAGGAGAGACTAAATGCTGGTTGGGTATTATATTTACAAATTACTTTCAACAACAAAATTGATCAGAATCAATGTTTGACTCTCCCTGGTTCAGCTAAACGAAAATCCCAGATGCAGAAATGTATGGATCAGAGGTGGCAGCTTTGGTGTATTCTTTTATTTTATTTTTATGAAGAGTATATTAATCACTTAATTTGAATGGGTTTGTAGCAACAGCGATATAACAAAAGCTATATTTTAAAGCAAACTGAACAAGTTCTGCATGACTGAGTTTCATGAGATAGTCTTACAAACTGGCTGTAGAAATACATGAACTTTAAGGATGTTTTCTAAATGCTGGTTCATTAACTTCTAGCTAAAACCACAAGCACTTGTGGGTGATCACAACTTAGGAATGAGTTTGAGCTAAATAAAATATTGATATTTAGACTCATTTTTAAATTAGCTTCAGCAAAGGTTTGCAGAGTTGTATATTTTTAGGTAAGTAGTTCTTAAGTAGTTCTGTCTTCAGAAGCCTTTTATTATCTCTGAATTAAAAAAACAACAAAAAACATACAAGACTGAGTAGAAAAGCAGCCCAAGTGCAAGTAAAGTCTTTGTAAAACATACAGAAAGCTGAAAGAAAGACCTTACTGTACAAGTCTTCCTACAACAGAAGCATACAAAAATGAAGTGAGTCTCAGGACTTTCAGTACTTTGTTTACAAACCGTTCATTTTTCAGGGGCCCATCAAACCAATTATCAACTCACGGCAGCCAGTACACAGGCATGCCGGCCTCCCTAACAATGTTGTTTACGACGAGTGCAAATCCCGGCTGTGTCCGTAAGAGCGACGCCTCGGAGCGGCTGCTGTGGGGCGCCGGGGCAGAACTGCAAACTGAGGCTGGGAGAGATGGGCGGGGAGCGTCCAATCCAATGAGCGAAGAGCTATTTGTGAGGAGGGAGACGGGAAAGGAGGCAGGTGGGGAGAGCGCTTTGCCTCAGTGAGCCTCAGTAATTCTGACTTCATTATTGCTGTGCTGTTGTGTGACGCATGAGCAGATTGCTACAGGCCCTCCGACATGCTCCACACTTCCTCTGCATGCACAGCAGCGCCACACAAGATCTCAGACTGACTCCCCTCTCTGTCCACCGCGTCCCAGTCATGCCAGTAAGACAAAAAGAAATGCGACAAAAGAACTGACCAGAAAGGTTTCGGGTTTAATTACAGCAGCTACAGTATATTTAAAAGGCAGGACTTTAATTACACTTTTATTAATGGCTCTTTTTCTGCGTTTTCCTTTCTTCTGTCTACCACTCTGGTTCAGGACGGAGCTCATTATACATCATCCTGTCCACCGGGGGCATATTCCTCCTAATCACCCTGGTGACAGTGTGTGCTTGCTGGAAACCTTCCAAGTAGGAGCTGTTCTTTTATCTTTCCCCCACCTCCCCACTTCTTTTCCAACACTTTTCCTCTCGGCTTCTATTTTTCCTTCTACTCTGAGAGAGTTTGATAAAGCGAACAATAATGTGACAAGAATTTCAAGTAGTTTAGCTGTGAAGTGGGGAAAAAAAAAAGTCATGATATTTGCTGTGTCTTGAGTTTATCAGAAAGTTTGTTTTTTTTGGGGGGGGGGTTTTAGCATAAGTGGATGTTTCTTTGGTGTTTGTTGCAGAAAGAAGCATCGACCTGTTCCCCAAAGAGCTCCTGTCTACATGGAGCAAAGTGAAAATGGCCATGATGGTGAGAAACTTTATCCTTTTTTTAAGCTTTAAGGAAGATTTAAATCAAGTTATTCTGGATTTGCGAATAGGTTTGATCCAAGCATTTGTTACCCTGCAACCTAGGATGGCTGAGGGTAATGTATTAGATGATATTCCCTCAACGTGTGATGCTGTGGTATGAGAAAGACGAGACACACACGTTGAGCTTCCTTCTCATTCAACTGGAAGATTTATTCTTCTTGTGTGCTCAATCTTCTCTATGCCACCAACGCGGCAGTGCCCCTAGCGGTTGTGTGTGGAATTGCATAGGACTAACTAAAATCACACTAAAGAACTTAGTACAATGAGAAATTAAAGATACAAAAATAAAAATTATGTTGGGGTGCCTATTTTCTTACTTATAGTTTTAATTTACTATTGACAAGTTTTTCACCCCTCTACACATTATTAACCAGTCAGTGTAATCCCAACTCGTTGTAGACCAGAGTCTACGTTAAGCGTTGAGTCCTCCTTTAACAACACAGTGTGGTGTAATTACTGTTGGTGCGTATTTAACAGATAACTAGGGTCTTAGTGGAAGTACTCTGCTGTCATCTAGTGGTTGTAGTTAAACCCAGTTATTCTTAAATTGGTTTGCACAGTAAATATGCAGCTGTGTATGCGTTGTTGGTGCTATATTCTGCTCTGTTCATACATATCTTAAAACTGAATAAGTATTTTATATTCTGGTAAATAAATTCAGCAAATAAATAGCATATCTAAAACGAGAAGAGTGTCAATCAAACATTTGTGACCAGTATCCAGTCTCCAGTGTTTGTACAGCCTTGACCTCCTAAAACCGATTTTTAGCCATTTCTACTTACAGACAGAATTCAACAGAATTCAAAACATAAATCTTGTTACTATGAATGGTTATAATTTATCTATACAAGGAAGAGAGACAAAGTTGAACTGCGAGAGTGAAGGAGCAGCTTACCTTATCTCTGACAGCTCCAAAAACGCTGCCAACATTTCTACATTCAACATTCAACTACTAAAAGTACAGATCATAAATGTACATGATAAACTACAGACCAGAACTACTAAAGTGCCAAATAACAGCATTACTTGATTATGCCTAAATCATGTAACAGGATTGTCTTTTGCAGTTGATGTGGTGCCAAAGCCAACCACGCTTGGCCGAAGGAGCCCCATGCCTCTTTATGTCCTCAACGAAGACGTAAGTCTCTCATTTATTTACAAGACCTCTATTTGGGATGGCTACGTCTTCATGTTGTCTCTGTGAGACTGGACCTGACTGAAAGCACAAAGCAAAATCTAAGCATGTCCACAAGCACAGTGGCAGCATCATTTATAATGCATAACCCATAAAGTGCTGCGTATTTCTACTCATTGTTTTTTAAGAGGTGTGCAAGTTTTGTTTGTTTTGTTTTTTTTGTTTGTTTTTTTTACTTAAAAGTAGAGTTACATAAAAAATTTTAATTGTCAGATTGTTCAGACATTCTTTGGAAAAACAGCATCAGACCGAGTCATAAGAAGGAAATTAGGACTAAATTCGTTTAATAAAAGTTTTAATCTGAAATATTTTAACTATTTTACTTTTTTTTCCACATTAGACCTCATTGGGATTTTACAGGATGAACAAACACAAAGTGACAAAATGTCAAGCTGAAGGCAAAAGACTGATGGTTTTTATGTTTTTTATGACAATCTGAAACTTTTATTTTGTGATTGTATTCAGTCCCTTACTGTTAAATAGAATAGAATAGAATAGAATAGAATAGAATAGAATAGAATAGGCAAAAGATTTACATTTTAACCGAAAAAACTGAGTTAAACACAATTATCACATTTATGTTTTTTTCCTTTTATTATTTCAGGAGACTTTGGAGCATCTAGAAGAATCCTCTGGCAACCCTGCTGTCCAATCAGAAATTAATATCCCTGCCACCTATGTTCCAGTCCTCCCCCCGACCACCAACAGAACTGAGCGGCCGATCTGGTCCACGCCCCGCCGGTACCCCCGCAGCCCGTCTCCGCTGGCACAGCCTCTCCCTCAGCCCCTCCCCGCTCCCCTCCTTCGTCCCGTCTGCTCTCCGGCTCGCTCCCCGGCGAACTCTCCGGGATCGTCCCCCCGCAGTTTCAGCCCGGTGAGGAGGGTCCGTCCTCCAGTGGGCATCCCAGTCAGCCACCTGCCCGTGGAGGCAGAGTGCACGGAGCCCAGCGATCAGACTCTCGGCTCCTCACAGCACTGACAGCCGTCTGGAAAATAGTTTTCACCCTGGGATATGTGAAATGCATGTTTAGTTTGGGTTCCACGCTGTAGGTTAACAAATGGGTTCTCTTCTTTTCTTCTTTTTTCCTTCATTTGTCAGTATTTATGACGCACTTCTTTATGGCTATGCACAAAAAAAAAAAAAAAAAATTAAGATTTTTTCTTAAATACTGTTCAGTGTTCTGGTATATGCAGATCTATTTGTTTTATTACAGTGAGTTTTTGATTTAGAAAAAAGTATAATAAAATACAAAACAGAGTCCCAGTCATATTTATTGGCATCCATAAAAGCCTTAAACTGAATTTGAATTTTATTGCTGCATTTTCGTCTCACGTTAAGCAGTTTAGTTAAGCCAAATGATTAATCTGAGTGTAATTATTCAGGCGGGAAAATAAATCCCATGTTACAAAATAATTGTTTCAGTCAAACATATTTATTAGGCATCTCTGCTGTCGGTCTCATCTCATAGCGTGTGAATAGATCAGATCATATATAAAGAGGGATATTATTTAGCTCGTCCTTTTTGCACATTACCCAGAATCCTGAACTGTCTTTTCCACCTCATAGATTTTAAGTTCTCCAGATCTTTATTTAACATTTTTCTAAAGGTGATGCCATTCACTCTAGTAAAGTTCTCAGGGGCTACGAAAGAAAAACAGTCCCACACCATCACAGATCCTCCACCGTACATAACAGTGGAGGTGTTTTTCTACTATTTCTTTCTTTAAGATTCTCCAAGTATAAATAATTTTTAAAAAATGGCTCCAGTTAGATTCATTTTAGGACAGTTGTTTGGGTTGGCACTGGTGGTTTTGTTAACAATTGCTTCTTAAGGTATTTCCTAGCACTGAATAAGTATACACTCATATCAAAGGCCAATTTAAATAAGAATCTGCAGAATAAGATAGGGTGCCACTAAATGTGCCACACTTAATGCGGCATCCACACAAAATGTACAGTATATAGTCGATAGTTTTGTGTTTTTTAATTATTTGCTCTTTGTGTTGTTTCAAGGCATTAAACACACTTTCTATGTTTTTCTCCAAATTAGGTCACTTTATAACATAAAGATAAAAAGAATATTGTTATATGTTTTATCTTCTTACGTACTTTGTGACAATAAATCCCGCAGCTCCTGCAAGTTAAATCTCCTGCTTTATTTTCTGAAGCTCATTTTACATAACCAAACATATGACACAATGGCATGTTTGTTAAAAACATCTTGAACTTCGTTTTGCCTTCTTTTGTCATCCTGAGAAAGTTGAAAGTAATTTGGCTGGCTTGCAATGTTGTTGTAATACTTCTTCAGTCCATTAGGTGGCACCAAAACATTTCAACCGACTGGGCTACCCTGCATAAAAAGTAACTCTTACAGGATTGTCTGCTTTTTATCGACCTTTACATCTGATCCGAAAGGTATAACAAATGACATTTTGAGCAGGTTTTATCCATCTTTATGTTTTTCAGTGATTTAAAAGTTTTTTGTTCTCTAAATCTAATTTAGATACAAACATTTTATGACTTATATACGGGAGTCCTAAATGCAAAAACAAACGGTGGTGAAGGTAAGTGTCTAAGAGAATAATTAACACAGCTATTGCACAGGCAACTGAGTTTGACACAGTAGGATATACAAATCTTAATGAGAAAAACTTGAATTACAAGAGAATAAAGCAAAATGCAAAGAGGAAAGAACACAAGAAGTAAAATAGGAATTAAACGCAAAGGAAAGAATAAATCCACAAAACTGGTCCATAAGTACTTTCTTTATTCAAGAAAAAGTGAAGCGTTAACGGCACAATCCCAGCCAGCATGCCTAGGTGGGACCCATGTGGGGGAAAGGAGGGCTGATATATGGGTCCCATATGGGTTTGTCCATGTAGGGCCACAGCCCACATGGGCCCTACATAGGCCCTAAATGGACAAACCCATGTGGGCCACCACCATATAGGGCCCATGTAGGGCCCATGTGGGCTGTGGCCCCACATGGGCAAACCCATGTGGGGCCATCGTGGAACCCGCGGACAAACCCATATGGGACCCATATGGTCTGCCCTCCTTTTCCCCACATGGGGCCCATCTAGGCAAGTAGCTCCTTTAGTTGCTTCATCTAGGAGAGAAGCACAACTAAACACATAAACTCTGAGCAGGTAGTCCAATTTATGCCTAATAGATGTCAATGACTGATTTTCATGTTTATTCAGATTGAGACATGATTTGTTGTAGTGACAGTGCTATCATTTAAGCTTCCATTTTTCTCTTTTTTAAAATCAAAAGTAATTTTTTTTCCTACAAAAATGATAATAATTTGATAGCACTATGTTGAGTTCACGCAAGTTATCTTGCTACAATTTAACTTTTTGTTTGATGACCTGAAATAACAAATGTGACCCAAAAAAAAAGAACAAAACAGTAGAAATCCCCAAGAGGACAATTCCTCGCAGCTCCGTCTGCATCAGCTGTGTTAGGAGGGAGTCCTGTATACCAACTCTGTTGTAAATTGAGCTTTTGTCTTTAGCGCTGTGGCCCCCGGGTCCTTTTGTGTGCATGTTTGTGCATGTGAGTCCCTGTCGAGCAGCAGTGAGCAGTCACACCGGCAGATTGTTTTTCTGCCCCGAATAAACAACCCAGTCGCACCTCAAAACAGTAACTAGCAAGAAAATTAAATCTGTTGACTTGCCTCCAAAGGCTTGAAATCCAGTTCAAATACATGTAAAATAAATAAACACAGGAAATAACACTCTTCTTACTACATTTCATAGAAAAACTCACGACAGGGCTCTAGAATTGTGGAGCTAATTTTGATGCTTTTGATATCTGGTGCTTTCAAAGCGATCCATCCGAACAACATGCAGGATGTTTTGAAGCATCTGCTTTCATTATAGAAAAAAAAAATACTCTAGGCTTTACCAGTTTACAGACAGATGTGTACATTTCACATCTGTCTCAATATGAAGTGGTCCAGGTTTCATAAATCTCAGGTTGCGTTTTAAAGATTCTCTACTTGGTGTATAATAAATGAGATGAAGTTGAGTGAATGTGATTGTGAATTGGAAAGCAGATACAAACTTCAGTATTATTAAAGAGAATTATTTACCAACTGTGCTATTAAAAGTTCAATTTCAAGAAGTCGTGTCACCGTTTTCCCAAGCAGGCCACCTAGTTGAACAAACTGTTGTTTTATTTTGACTCCTACTGCAATACATGAAGTGACTCAGTGCAACTTTGCGTTGCAACTGACAGATAACGTATTTTTTCCAAGGTTCACAGCACTTGCTTGTTTGTGTTGCCTTGGGCGGTGAGATGTAAGACCCACACAGCGAGCCCCTTGATTGGTGTAAAAATAACACGCAAAAGCTTTCATACTGCTTTTAACTATTCCCCCTCTGGAGACAGACACCAGCTCCTCCACTAGCTTCCACAGGACTAGCGAGTATAGATAATGGAGGGGCTAATACGAAGCACTAAGGAAAATGACACATACTTCAAATGTATTATAAAAATCTGACGCTGTATTCAACCCTCCTGAACCAATCACTAAATGCTTCACAGTAATTGAATCTCACAAATCCACCTCTTCAATAAAAGCTTCTAAAGTTTGTTAGAGAGCGTTACCAGCAGCATGATGAAGATTAAGGACAGAGACCAGGAATAAAGTCGACATTTTCATCCACCTACCATAAAGGAAAAACAATCCTCTAAGAGGCCTGTAACTCCAGAGGAGTTATAGGCCTCTGGACAAATATGTCCTTTGAGGCAGAGATCCTCGGGTGTTTGCATTTTGGGTTTCGTTCACATTTGTCACTTTATTATTGCTCAACAGGTCTTGGCAAACTCAGTTCATTAGTATTTCCTTAAAGGTCTTTTCACATATGTTCTTTCTTCTGTCTTTAGTTTCTTCACTTTTCATTCTTGCGTTTCGTCTGGTGTTGCCCCAACATGACAGCTCTGTCCATGCATAAGAGGAGCAGTTAAGCAACTCTATGATTTATTTCCCCCTGCTTTATGTTGCCAAGTACCTAAAGAAACACTGAAATAGCATAAAATGTAAAAACAAGCCAAAAAAAAAAAACAAAAAATGAAATTGGTAATGAGGTGTATTTACATGTGAACTAGATGTGTAAAAATTGAAACAGGCCCGATCTATTAGTATAATCAGGATAATGCGTTCTCCTCAGAAGTCCAGCTGCACATGTTTTGTAATGGAAATCCTCCCGATGTTATCGATTGCTTTTATCCCGAAATGGATCTTCTCTCGCCGAAGGTGCGAGTCCCGTGGTTGCATAACCTCATTAGATCCACTCGGTTTGATCTGCTCATTGCTGTCTTTGTATTAATGGATGCACCATTTGTTCACTGGTGCTCACTCGCACTCATGAATACACATGCAGCACGGTGTCCTCACATGACAGCAGAGAAAGACAAAAGCACGCAGAAAAGTGGTGCATGATAATCACTCGTGCGACGTGAAACGTCGTCAGATGGGTAGAAGTGGGTGAGCGGTGTTGTGCTTCGGAAAGCTCCTTTTAATCTCTGGTGATCTCACTTACTGAACGCTGGTCACACGGTCTGTCCTGTGATGTTCCACCTTCTCCTCCTGGTGTGGCAGGAGAGCTGGGAAGGGGTGTAATTAGACTCTGGGGGAAATGCATCACTGCAGAGCACAAAGACGATGTGTGTTTGTGGGTCTGCAGGTGTGTGGAGGGAAGGTGTCCTCTGAGTTGACAGGAGGTGATCTACGCTCTCCAGTTCCAATTAATCACCTCCTGCCGCCTGCTTGAGCCGCCGCTGCAGATGTCCTTGTTAACACCAGTCAGTCAATCTGAAATTCCCTGCAGAAAGACTATTTTATTTTTTAAAATTGTTACTTTTTTTTTTTAAATATCTTTATAACTTTATTCAAATCATGGTAGGCTGATGGAGCCTTACTTATAGGTATTTTGAATTTTCTCAATTCCTTTTTTTTTAATCATCAAGAAATATTAGAATTTTCATCACAATGCAAAAGCAAATAATTCATTTTTATTATAACTAACCAAAAGCTGTACGGCAGACAAACTGATTTGACTTTGATTTCATAGCTACTTTTTGTCTCTTGTCTTAACAACACTGTTATACCATTTTAATGCTATTTAACTTGCTGATTTATTTTAAATTCCCAAAAACCAATTGACCTTTCAACTCAGCAGAACAGGTTCCACTATTACCAAACTGAAACCTGTTTGGTAACACCCCCATGCTGGTGGGGGGTTGGGGGGTGGGGGGGAGGTTGATGTTTTTTTTTTTTTCTTTTCAAATGCACTCTTCATAAAACCTGATCCAGCTCGAGGTATTTTGCAACGAAGAACTGGCTGAGGCGAAATCATTTGCAAACATAGTTGAACATCTTCAGCCTCATCTGAACCCATTCAGGTAAAAACCTCTTACTCTTTCAGACCTGATGATTGTCTCTTTTTTCTCCATAGTAACAGCCCCATGGCAACAAGTGCTGCTTATATTCACTGCTTTCACATGTCCAGGCGTCACCAGCCTCATCACTCACAGCCTCCCTCTCCTCTCTTACTGTATGTCAGAGGGCGTGCATGCGGTTGTCTGCGTCTAAACGCGCCGCCGTCATGTGAGATGCGAGTAAGCCGGATCTTCTGCACCTGGGACTTTGTTTCCAGTCTCCACGGGGGAGAAGGAGGACGGCTGACACCGTGAGTTCAGTACATGCACTGTTTTTTTTTGTTTTTTTTAAGCGTTGTATCTATTACATGTGTTTTATCGATTTATTACATCCATTGTCTCACTGAAAGTTACAAATACGACTTAAGTGCTAAGTTGTTGACATAGTGTTTGTTGTTATTGCTTGAGTTTTTTTTGTTTGTTTTTTTTCAGATTTGTATTTATTGC